GGCCTGGTGCACTGGGAAGACCCAGAGGGATCGGGTGGAGAGGGAGGTGGGAGGGGGGACTGGGATGGGGAATACATGTAAATCCATGGCTAATTCATTTCAATGTATAATAAAAACTACTGTAATGATGTAAAATAATTAGCCTCCAACTAATAAAAATTAAAAAAAAAATAGGATATAGCATATATTCATGAAAGTTCACAAATAAAAGCTGGGCTTGATAAAATTTTATAAAATGACCACACACATGAAATCCAGACTAAGAAACAGATCATTAGCAAAACCTCAGAAGTCCTCTTCTGTCCTCCAGTTACTACTCACCAGAGCCACTATCTCCAGGAAACTCCCAGTCTATTTCAGATAGGTGACTAAGCATGGCTTAGCTACGAGTGCCTGGACATTTCTGCCCAATGTTGGCCCACTCTGTGTGCTGGCCAAGATTTTGTCAAAGCCATACTTCAGTTTAAGGCTCTTACTATTCTGTCCTTCTCCTTTCCAGGTGTCAGACCTGTATCATGCTTTAAAGTTTTATCCTGACTACTGCTCCTTTTTCCCTTTTGTCCTTTAATAGATGCTATCAGCAATAAACCTCTTGAGTTTCTAGCCCTGCCTTGATATCTGCTGTGCAGAGGACCCACCAACACAAGTGATTCTGGAAGTGGACTAAAATGACAAACTCAGTTTGAGGACTAGATCACATACCTCTGTGCTGTCAAGGAGGATTCCCCTGTCCAAGTGGTATGTGGTCATGGATAGTCTCAGCCACAAGTGGTAGCCCAGTTGCTAAAAATATTACCAGTAGTGACTTGAGAGAGTGCCATCCCAGTGCAGAATGCCCTGGCTTGTGAGATGATTCAAGCCTTTTTAAATGCATGTGATCAAGCATAAGGGTAATGAAATTGGTCGGGCATTAGCAAGTTGCATTGACATCTTACAGAGGAATAATTGGAAATGGAGGGCAATTAACAAACAGTTACAGCTAAATACAAGAGCCAGAAGATCTCTTTGGTAGCTTAGAAAGTAGAAGAGCACACTGAGGAGTAAACTCAGGATCCAATAGTTAGGAGCCCCTCAAACAGTTGAATGCTCAGACATCGCAGGTCCGTTATACTCTGGTTGAGAAAACCTGCAGTCCTGAAACATGGAATGATAACATCTCAGTGGATGCCCTCAAAGACAGTGGCTCTGCAGAGTCTCCTGAGCCCCTCCTGTGGCCTGCACCTCCCTGTGTAGGATGGCACAGGCAACCGACACCTCCTCTGGCGCTGTGCCACCTCCTCTTCTGGCTGCCAAATTGATAGTCGTGGTTAAATAACTTGACTGGGAGATCCTGGACCTACTAAGAGCAATAGTGTCCCTCCCTTAGCTCACCTCTGTGGCCAAGGGAACATCCAGTATGATCAGCTAAAGGAGGAGGAAAAAGGCCAATCTTGTTACAGATGGGTCAGATTGTAGGTGCAAGCTTTGTCGTTGGAGTTGGCACAATGGGCACATGAACAGAGTGCCCACGGTGGCAGAGACAGAAGCTACATATGGACCTGATGGCCTAGTGGGCTACAGTCCACTGGGTCATAAAGAGTTGGACACAACTGAAGTGACTTAGCACGCAGACATAGGACGGCCTCATAGTTACTGCC